TTTTTTTTTTTTTTTTAAAGAAAGCTCACACAGTGGGAGGGGACCCAAAGGGGTTGCCCCTGGACATTCTTTTTACGTGAACGCTGTACACTAAGTATACCACATGTTGAGCTTTAAAGCCGGTCTCAATCATTTTTTTTTTAAATTGGAGTCTCACTCTGTCACCCAGGTTGGAGTGCAGTGGCATGCTCATGGCCACCATAGCCTCAACCTGCTGGGCTCAAGCAATCCTTCTGCCTCAATCTTCCAAGTAGCTGGAACCACAGGTGTGCACCACCACATTCGGCTAATTTATTTATTTATTTTTTTTTTGAGTTGGAGTCTCACTCTGTCGCCCAGACTGGAGTACAGTGGAACGCTCATGGCCACCCCAGTGTCGAACTGCTGGTCTCCAACAATCCTTCTGCCTCAGCCTTCCAAGTAGGCAGAACTACAGGCACGTGCTACTATACCTGGCTAATATTTTAAATAATTTATTGTAGAGATGAGGTCTGACCAAGTCGCCCAGGCTAGTCTTAAACCCACAGGCTCAGGCAATCCACTCGTGCTACCATGCCTGGCTAATTTTTTTTTTTTATTTATGTAGAGACAAAGTCTCGCCAAGTTGCCCAGACTGGTTTCGAACCCCTGAGCTCAGGCAATCCTCTTGCCTTGGCCTCCCAAAGTGCCGGGATTACAGGTTTGAGCCACTGCGCCCGGCCTGGCTGATTTTTTTTATGTATATCTCAGTATATATTTCATCTCTTTCCTTGCTTTTATATCCTGCCTCAGCCTCCCAAAGTGCTGGGATTACAGGCTTGAGCCACTGTGCCTAGCCAAATTTTAATGAACTGAAATCATACACAATATGTTTCCTGTCCTTAACAGGATTAAGTTAGAAACCCAGGAGCAAGATATATCAGAAAACCTCTAGTACCTGATGCTTAGCCACACACTTCTAGGTAACATATAGCTCAAAGGGGAAATCAGAAAATATTCTGACTAATAAAATACAACACACATAGCTAGGCTCGGTGGCTCAGCCTGTAATCCTGTGCTTTGGGAGGCCGAGGTGAGTGAACTGTCTGAGTCCGCAGGTTCATGACCCACCTGGGCAGCTTGGCAAGACCTCATCTCTACAATAAATCAAAAAAATTAGCTGGGTGTGATAGCGCGTGCCTGTATTTCCAGCTACTTGGAAGGCTGAGGCGGAAGGATCGCTGGAGCCCAGCAGGTCGAGGCTGCAGTGGCCGGGAGTGGCCACTGCACTCCAGTCTGGGCGACAGAGTGAGACTCCAACTCAAAATATATATATATATATATATAACACACATGATGGTTAACTGTACGTGCCACCCTGACTATGCCATGGGGTACTCAGATTAAACATTATTTTTGGGTGTCTGTGAGGATGTTTCTGGATAGGATGAGCATGTGAATAGGTAGACTAAGGAGCAGGCCCTCCCCAGTGTAGGTGAGTATCAACCAATCCATAGGGACTGTGAGAACAATAAGGTGGAAGGAGGAGGAATCTGCCCACTTTTTCCTTCCTATCTATCAGACTGAGCTAGGACATGGTCTCCTACGGCCCTGGGACTGGGATCTTGCACCACTGGTTTCCCCATTCTCAGGCCTTGTACTCAGACCAGAATCATCCACTGGTTTTCCTCTGTCTCCATCATCACGTGAGCCAGTTCCTCATGATAAATCTCCTTTCAGACAGATGGGCAAGCAGATACACATAGACAGGTAGATTCTGATTCTGTTACTCTGGAGAACGCTGACTGGCACAATACATGAGTCAAGATCTACAGTTCTGTCTACCTCCTCATGAAGCCACCAAGAGGCAGGATAAGCCCAAAAGAAACGGAAGGAAGAAAATAATAAAGAGCAGAAATCAACAAAACAAACAGTAGTGAAAGTTAACAAAGCCAAAAGTTGGTTTTTTGAAAACAACAAAAACATTGATAAACTATTAGCCAGATTGACCAAGAAAAAGAGTAAAACAGTAACACAAGGAGAGTTCATAACTACAGAGCTTTGAGACACAAAAAAGATAATGAAATATTATAAGCAATTTCATGCCAAGAAATTAGAAAAATTAGATGAGACTGGCTGCAGGGGCCCATGTCTGTAATCCTAGCACTTTGGGAAGCTGAGGCGAGAGGCTCACTTGAGCCCAAGAGTTCGAGACCAGCCTATGAAATATAGTGAGACCTCATCTCAACAAAAGATTAGCTCAGCCAGGCTCGGTGGCTCAGCCTGTAATCCCACGCTTTGGGAGGCTGAGGTGAGTGGACTGCCTGAGCCCGCGGGTTCGAGACCCGCCTGGGCAACTTGGCGAGCCCTCATCTCTACAATATATAAAAAAATCAGCCGGACGTGGTAGCGCATGCCTGTGATTCTGGCTACTTGGAAGGCTGAGGCGGAAGGATGGCCGGAGCCCAGCAGGTCGAGGCTG